GAGGATAGGTGTAACATGGGTGTACCAAGGTGCACCCACAATTGCTCGTGCGGCTGCGTTCTGGACGAGTTGAAGTCTCCGAATACTTTTCAAGGGCTGCCCCATGTAGAGTACCTTGGCTGAACTGTAGTTTACTGGGTTGGTTTTTTTTTTTTTTTTTTTGATAACACTTATGTTTATAATAGCTGGGCCAGGTTTGTCCTGCATGATCAGCTGTCTCATTTTCTTTTCTTTTTTTTCACGCAGCAGTTAAAATGAAGGTGTTTTGACATATCCTAGGCAAGGAAACTTGTTAATGTGTTTGTTGCGAGCAGGATTTGCCTACACCTGTCAAAATCCACAGCCCAGCAGAATTTTAAAAGAGCTTTTACAAGTTTCAAGCCCACTTCTATCCAGAATATTCTCAATACTTGCTATCACTTTCTGAAGTTCCAATTTTTTCCCCTCCATTGTATTAAATGACATTTTTTTAATCAACTAAGCTAACTATTGAATCAGGAATTTCTAAATGAGTAGATGATAAATTCTGTCATTGAGTCCATACATTCTGCCAACCCTTGGTTTTTTTTTCATTATAATTTACTGAATAAATCAGATGAATTGTTTAGAATCACATGGCTCAGGGGTGTCCAACTTTGGCAACTTTTAAAATTTGGGGGATTCTGGGAGTTGAAGTCCACAAACCAAAGTTGGACAACCCCGATTTAGCCCTAAGCCATAGAGCAAACACGTACACAGGTAGTCATCTCAACTTAGGACCACTATTCAGCCCCAAATTTATGTTGCTGAGAAATTTGTTATGTGAGTTTTGCCTCATTCTACAACTTTTCTTGCTACGTTTGCTAAGTGAATCACTGCACCTATTAAATTAGTAGCACAGTTGTTAGGTGAATCTTGTCTTCTCCATTGACTGCTTGTCAGAAGGTTGCAAAAGGGGATCCCTTGATCCCAAGACATTGTGACCATCATAAATGTCAGGTGTCAAGCATCCATATGTAAATGACGTGACCATGGGGATGCTGCAACAGTCATAAGTATGAAAAATGGTCATGAGTCACTTTTTTTGGTGTCGTAACTTTCAAAGGTCATTAAGCAAACTGTTGGAAATCAAGGACTACCTGCAATGTTCAGCCTTCCCACTGTTGGCTGAGCAAAATTCCCAGTGTCTATTATTATTGGCTCTGCTGGCTGGATGTTTGGACACCTTACAAATCACTGTGGTCTACAAACCACGGGTGCATATGTGCCATGGCAAGACATCACTATGGTTCACTATAAGGGTTGCGGTGGCTCAGAGACTAAGACTAAGATCAGAAGGTTAGCAGCTTGGTGGTTTGAATCCCTAGTGTCGTGTAACGGAGTGAGTTCCCGTTACTTGTCCCGGCTTCTGCCAACCTAGCAGTTCGAAAGCACATAAAAATGCAAGTGTCAGATCCTCTCCATTAGATAATTAGGAAAGAAGACCAC